GGTGGTCGTCCTTTTCGTATTGTAATGATAGGGTTCTTAACATTACATTCAATATTATCTGTGTTTGCACCTGATGTCTGATTTTCTTGTTTATCCAATATAAACCTATGACAAATGCCTATAAACTCATCATATGAATTAGTAGCAATGGCCATATCCAGAGCTTTCTTCATTATACCTTGTGCCCTCCCATATTTTTGTCTTGTGCTATTAACCTCTTGTAATGTTGAACTATAAACTTCGGCACCTTGTATTTGCTTAATGTAATCAAATTTATATGTTAAATGTTCAATAATACTTTGTTGTTGGTCTGAATTCATGCACAAAGTAATAGATGATTGCTGCCAAATATCACTACCATCAGCAAAATCATCTTTGTATCAATGTGTTGCAATAAGTCCTATATGTAGAGTTGGACATTTTATATAAGTTTTAAATTTTTGATGTAAGTTACATGTAACTTATATCTAAATTTCTATGTACATCTTAATGTAAATTTGCAAAATTATGTAAGTTACATGTAAGTTAGAATGTAACTTACAAAATTTGCCCAACCCTACCTATATGCCATTTAGCCTAAGTAGAGCAACGTAAAACCTTGTAAAAATACCTGCATAGATAACCATGAGTAATAATGATATTGCATGTGCACCGATAAGATCTATCCCTAATAATATAACATAGTTGTTTTTAACTCCACAAGATATAACTACTCTCCAAATTTCTAAAATCTGATCTCGACTAATTGATGATATGATCTTAGTAAGATGTATTTTGTTAAGTTTATAATTATCTTCTCTTGCTCCCTCGGCATAATCGATATTTATTTGCTCCTATCACGAAAGATAAAATATTTTAGCTTATTACAACAAAAGTTAACTAGTGTTCCGCAGTGAGCCAGCTTAAATAGGCCCATTGCAAAACATTAAAGTAACAAAAAATTAATACTTAACCTGTATCATAGAATCAATAATAATATTATCTATCAGGAAGCTATCATAGTAAAAACACTCCTGCATTTGTTTACATATAGTAAATAAAAGATAATGCGAAACAACCTTTTCAATTGTACTAAAATAGGTTTTTGAGACTGT